ATATAAAATATTCTCAATTCACAGGTTTGCGTTTGCATATTTCGAAACAAATCGATTTTTCGTTTGCACACCTTTAGTTAAAAAGTTATTAACGAATAAATGTTGGAGAGTTAACTTTACGCTGCAAAAAATACATGATCGCCTCGAATAAAAAAGAACAAATTTGAAATAACACCAATCGATAGATTTTCGTTTGCACATTTAGACTCAAGTCGAATTTCATTTGCACACAGTTTAGTTAAAAAGTTATTAACAATTAAAGTTCCGAGGACATTCGATTCAGGTAGATAGGTTCAAATGATATTGAGTATAGTAACTGCGATTTGATTGAACCTATCTATCGACTGTCCTCGAAACTAACTGTTAATCTCTTTTTAACTAAAGGTGTGCAAACGAAAAATTGATTTGTTTCGGATATATAAATGAAAATCTATTAATTAGAGTTATTTCAATCCCGTTTCTTTAGAATTCGAACCGAGAACGTACTCTTTGCAATGTGAAATTAGCCTCACAACATTTATTTGTTTATAACTGTTTAACTAAATATGTGCAAATAAATAATCGGCTTGTTTTGGAAAACTGTACAACTGTTTAACTAAATGTGTGCAGACTCGATTAAGATTAGTTAAATCTAACTTGCTTATGGTTGGGGGCTTAACATGAAATTAGCATCTCCTAAAATTGTTTTTTAATTACCTTTTTAATAACTTTTTTATCAGAAATGTGCAAACGGAAATTCGAAATATTCATATATGTGTAAACAATGACCAAACTCGAAAGAGAAAGTCAATTTTTTTAAAGGTTAAGGGCCAACATCAAATGAGTAATTTAGATAACAACATAAATTAGACATTTAGTATATATGGAAAAAATGGTAGCGATGATTAATTTAACCGATTAAATGACGAATATCTGGTTTTCTGGGACTGCTATATGAAAAACTTTCTATCCACAATTATTAATTAAAAGATGAAGCTACTTTACAATATTACAATGTATGTTAAAAAACGTCGATAGATTCGCGGTGAATAGGTGGTGGATTGTTTAAAATGTTTCGTTATCGGAAGTTGAGTTGAAATTTTTCGGAGCGATGTCGGCAACTTTCCTAGCGGTCGCTCGCGAATTATTTCTCGTTTAATATCGCTCCTTATATCGCACTCGACGCTGACGGAGTATTTCGAATTCTGCTGCATACCGTGCATTGTTCGCCGGAACAATCGCAAAACTGATGTCATAACGCAGCAGCTATACTCCGCGGCGAATCGCGCTGCGAAAGAAGAGCTGCATAAATTTCATTGGACGATAACTGTTTCGCCGGATATACGCGGACTAATCATCGTCCATGTACATCATGTTGTCAAAGGGAAAAGTTTATAACATCGATGAGCCACAGAGCAAATCGTGTAAAAAAGAATTGTTTCATTCATGTTATGCGCTGCATCTCTTTTTATTGCCGCATCGCATATTTTTGTCCGTTGAGAAATTTTTTGTTACTTTAAACCTATACAAGATGCTTTAATCTCTTAACAATAGATTAATTTGATATTCATCAATAAGATTTATTAGACATTTAATATTTTTGTTTATCTGCAATTGAAGCTAATCAGGATTGATACAAAATTATAAATCAGGAAATAAGGAAAATATAAGAAAAATTGAAAATGTCAATGGAATAATGATCAGAGAATTTTACAAAATTCTCTGAAAAATTGAAATTCTTTGATTTAAAGATTTAATATGCCTACATCATACCTACGTAGTTTTGGAATATTATCAACGTAATAATTATAAGTGCAAGCAGTGTCAACAATATTTGTAATAATTTATAACATTGCTGTGTTAAATTACTCTCTCAACTAAATATTTCACATCAAACACAAAGATTAGAGTTGCTAAGAATGTAACTAGTATATTAAATATTATATATAATTAAACAATTCACATATATTAAAATTTTACATATATTAAAATTAATGTTTGGTGTTTGGTCATATAATAAAAGAACATTCTTTTATTCGGTGCTGACAGCGGAGTAATTTTGTTTCGTTTCGTGGACTGTTCAAAGTGTCGAAAGATATTAAAGACTTTTATGCACGGAAAGTACAGTGGTGATTCTTAACTTTTTTTACAGTCAGGTGACAGTACATAGAATTAATTTTAAGACTATTTCTACAATCATAAAAAAGTGCTGATGCAAATTTGCATCTGAGTGCCAACAAGTGATAAAAAAATCTAATGTTTTTAAAATTTTAATTATCATAATATTTGATAGTTTTCAGGACGAAAAATATAAAAAATTTAAAATAAATATAGTAGAGAGCGTCTAGATCGGTCAAAGTTAGTGTGTGTGTGTGTGTGTGTGTGTGTGTGTGTGTGTGTGTGTGTGTGTGTGTGTGTGTGTGTGTGTGTGTGTGTGCGCGCGTGTGTGGATATGTGTGTATGTTTTAAATAATATAATATTCTTATTAATATCGCTTATTTCTGTATTGATTATTAGTATTTCTGATTGATTGTGTTTAAAGGTCCGAACGTTTCCGCATTTAAGATAAATTAAATTCATGAATCAAAAATATTATATTATTCGAAATTAACTTTGACCGATACTAGGCGCTCTCTACTATACTTATGTTGTTACATTAACTCCGATTTTATTTTTTAAAATAAAATGTTGAAAGCATCAGAGAAAATGATGAAATTTTGTTTCCGGAAATCAGGGAATCGTTATAGAATTTTAGAATGAATTTGTGACAACCATATCGGACAAATAAATGAAATAATTAGAGATTACCATACGTTAAATATTCAGTCGTATTCAGTATAGTTATTTCCTTTATTTAACATGGAGATCTCGTATATGCGAGTCTAATCACCTTAACGAGACTTTAACGCATAAACTTGTCTTTGGAATCACTATATCGTGCAGTAGTAGTACAGTTCAGGTTTACTGACTTCCGTATCTTGTTTGGACTAATTTGCGCGCTGCTGCATACAGTGCATACATCGTAAACGTAGGATGCGTAGGAAGCAAAGAGCAATGTCATGATAGTTGCCGGTGCTGTTTATAATAACGAGATTACTCGGCGAACAGCGGTCGTTTAACACGGCTGACAAAGCGAAATGTCGTGACTCTATCGTCGAATGAAGTATATTCCGGCTTGGCACCGAAATCGACCTCACGTAGTCGCATAATTCACGCGTTGGCTGCGAGATGGGGAATCGTGCTAAGAAGGGATGAGATTTTATAAGAGAGGAACTTCTCTTTTGCTTCTCTTTTGCCCTTTTCCTTCCTCATTTATGGCTCAGTGCCGTAGACGGTAGAAAGGCATAAATGAGTGAATAGTTCGAGAAACGTGTCCCAGCGATTAAGGACACACAATTCGTGCTTGAAGAACTACGTGAAAACGCAGTAGAAACGTGCAAAATGAGAGCGATCCGCTGCAAATTTCCCGCGCGCGAGTATTTACCTTCATAATTCTCGAACTTACGGATATTCTTTCTAATCCAAATGTTACTTTGAAGTCGTAGGCGTTCGATCCGGAACGGCAGAGATTAATGAGGAGAATCGGATCTAACTTATTTTTCTTGCGTTCTCGATGGCGGAATGAATTTCGATGATTCGTGTTCGTTCGAGCGAACACGAATGAATAGATTTAATACTTCCGGTTATTTACGAAATGCAATTTATAATGTGCTTGTATAATTTTATATTTACATTCGTACGAAAGAACATTATAACACGGATGCAATATTAGGTACAACATATTAATGAATTGCTAATTCAACAATTGCATCTTTATTAGAAAATTATTAATTTTATATATTTGAACTATTTTATAAAGCTTATATTGAAATTTAAATGTAGATTCTGTAACAACTGTAGAAACTAGTGATTTTCTTTTCTAAATATAGATTTTAAAGGTTGACGTCAGTTTTGAGTTATATGTCTTTTACGTTTGCTTGGAAAGAGCTGAGAGAATATATTCGAGTGCTCGAACTGCTCAGCGAAAGCATCAACGAAGTCACTTAGTTTCTAGATCTTTACAATTCCATCTCGGATTGTTGTCTAGACTAAATTCATTTCTGCGACATAAATACACTAAAAATAAATAAATAAATAAATACTAAATTTTTATTTTAAGACCATTAATTTAATTTAATTATCATTTTTATTGATTAAATATTTATTTACTGTAAATAAATATTTACTCAATACTATTCAATGAAATAAGTATTTAATAAATTTTTTCAGTAAAATTCCATTTTTTTACGAAAAAGTACGTAATTGTCGTTACATAATTATTTCTTTGCCATTATTCTTTAATAAAATTACGTATTATATTCTCGTGTTAGAATAGTACCACACATTACAATATTGCAATAGGATATACAACGTATCTTTTCTAGGTGCAAGGGCACGTTGGCTTACGTGCACTTGTCCTGCCTGGAACGATGGCTGAATCAGTCGTGCCGAACGTACTGCGAATTGTGCCGGTACTACTTCAATGCCGTGGAGACGCCTCGTTATCGATGGTGAGCATTACATTTACCGGGTTAGCACGGAGAGGGTACACTTTCAAGCTGGATGTAATTCAAGCATCCGAAATGCACTTCGATCTCTCGCACACCGGCATGTTTCCTTATTTCGTTTTCCGTTACTCATTATTCTCTTTTTTCACAATGAATTGATCTCAGTCATATTTCTTTCTTTTTTCTTCTGTGCAATTTGTTTTCTCACTGAGTCGATCAGGTTGCAGTTTGGAGTTTACTCGAACATCAAAAATGATGTATCGAGTAAACTGCGACGTTCTGTATTCTGATTTATGCGTCAAAATAACATGTGCTGCGTCATTTTAAATTTGCAATTCGATTGTTGGAATTGTAAAATAATAAATTAATTTGTTTTTTTTTTTCATAAGAAAGTTTATATTACTTCAAATAATATTAGTTTTACTCGTGTGTATATAATATATCTTATTGCTATGTTTATTTTTATCCGTATTTTTATCCGCAATTTGAAGCAGTGCATTTTTTATATTTATTTAAATGTTAAATCAAATTATATTTTACAATTCTAACATCACATTGTGTTTATCGATAAACATTTTGTTTTGTGTATGAGCGCATGATCTTCCGAGGATGAATTTTTTGAGCTTTTATCTTAATAGCCGTACACAGCTGCGCGTAGTTATCATTTTTATGGATACCTGCAGGCCAGAGTCTCTGAGAATATGGATTAGCCATCCGCGAAATCGTAGAAACATAGAATCAGACCTGCTCATCTTAACATTACTCACCATTGTTACGGTGGGATTAGCCGCGGTGTGCTTTTTAGGTGAGTAATTTGATAAATTGAAAGTTTGAAAAATTTTATAAAATATGATTATTTTTTCGTAATTTAATAAATCCTTTTTTTTACAAAACGTATTCAAAAAAAGTCATATGTATTATTATTTGATATAACGCCAAAAATTTATATTGTTTAATGTTAAAATATTATTTATTTTATATTTATATATTTATATCATTTAATAAATAAAATTAATATTAAAATATTAAACTTGATGCTGAAAATATTTCCGTGCTTTCAAATATTACTTATAGTATATTTTTAATATTTAATCATTACTCGAAAATTATATAAAAATTGTATAATATAAATATTTGTATATATTTGATATATATTTCCTGCATTTCAAGCTTCTTTTAGAAGAATAATTATAAGGAAAATCACGTTGTTATAAAATAATATGGTATAAAATAATATGTGAAAGAGAATTCGAATTATATGTTGACGAAGTCAGTTCCGATAAGCGTATACTTTTGTAAAACTATCAAACTGAATTATTATTATATTTGCTATTCGCTGTCACTTTGCAGGTATGCGATACTTTATCATTGAGGGAAACAAGATTGGAATTTCCAAACCCTGGACGCGAGGGGCGATATGGTTCTTCTTGACTATCGTGATATTAGGCTATGTCACCACAGTTTACTTGCTCTGCAGAGTAATTATGCTCCTGATTTATTCTTTTAAGTTATCGATTCAATATTGTTTGTCACTAAGAAGATTGCATTTAATGAGAATTATTGTGATAGAAAACGGGGCTTAATGTTATTGATTTTTCTTTGAATTAAATTACAATCGGGACAAATATTTTCATTTTATATCTAACTCTTCCATTGTTTAATATTCAATAGAAATAGGATATTATATGTGCGATCAAACTAAATGCATTAATTGGCTTAAAAGATGCATTAAATAACTTACATAATACCAAAATAATTCATTAAGTATTTAATTAATTAATTATGCAATATTATGAAAATATGAATATAGTATTATGTCCCATATTGATATTTTTTAGCTGAATGCATTGTAAATGTTTCAATTATATTCGCATGAATATCTTATTAAATTTACATGGATTAGTTCATCAAAAGCTAAACGTACGGAATTATCGGTTTACGTAATACACAACGATGAGCATACATGAAACAAATCGAATCAATATTACCGATATTGTAGGATATTGTATATTCGCGAAATGAAATTAATATTTGAATTGAAATGTATTTAACGCATCGTACATTTCCTCAGAGAACCAATGTGTCTTTACAATTAGGTATCAGAAAATGAAGTTTAGTAAAAAAATAAACATGCTAAAGCATTGCCTATGTTTATTTTAATGAATATAAACTGTGTCACTCACGATTAATACGAATTAAATGAATTCATTCGTTTTAATATAATCGATTACAACATGCACAACTTTTTCAACATGATAAATATAGTAAAAATAAAATTATGTTTATTCAAGCAATATTTATATTTGTTTGAAATACTTGTCATGTTTTACTATCTAGTAAATTTTTATTTTACAATATTAATATAACAAATATAGTCATGATTTTTGAAGTCAAAGTGTTTTAAAATAACATAGAATTTTTTTTTCATTATATCGAGATATATTATTTTATTATAAAGTCTTTGTTAACTCCAAAGTGAACAACGCTTTTACCAAATATTCTTTTTAAAAATCGAGATGTGTAAGTTTTCATACTTTGGACACGTAGATCAATATATATCATAATATCCATAACTTAATACCTATTGACGCTTCGAGTTCGAAACAATAGCCATTTTTCTTAGTTTAAACCGTATTACGTTCGACTGAAAGGTTACATGGTAAGCTAGGAATGCCTAGCGTATAAGACGTGAGTTATTTACTGCAAAATATCTTTCAAAGAATATACATATCTGGCTGAGATATATACGTATTGTAACGTAGAGAATATAGAATCGTGGTATTTTGACTAGTAACGTACGTCGGGATAACTTGCATCAGTATGCATCCTCTGGGTCATCGACTTTATGTCGCATCCAGCGCGACTTTGTTGCCGCGGTTTACGTTTATGTACCGCGATCTCGCCGGGCCAGATAGCGACATTTGCCCCAGGCAAACGCATTAAGGGGCGGCCTGGGTAAGGATGAACCAGGTGAGCGGTATCCCGATGCTCGAATGCGCGGATATAATATGAGAGAGCGACCCGGAACAAACGTGTCAGAACGCATTTTGTGCCGGAAGGGCGCGAAAGACACATGATGCTCTGATATGAAAAGAATACACACGAGTATGGTGGGCGCACTGAGCGGAAACATGGCTAATAGAGTAGATCTTTTCATCTAAAAATACCACCACGTGTCCCCTAGAAAAAAATCATATCGCGCGTTTTCATCTTTACAATTCTACGATTTAATTTATAATATTTTAAAGGCGCAATTTATAATGAAAATTTTTGTTAATATGTTTCTTTGGATAATTGAAAATCTGACTTAGACTGTAGATTTTTTAAAGTTTCTAAAGTATTAATTAAGTAATTTTTTTTATTGGTTTATCATATGATTTACTTAATGGTTAATTTTTGTTTAAATTACCTTTCTTGATAAAGATTATAATCTTTGTAGCGTCGGATGTGAAACTAGAATTCCATTTATAACTGTTATGGCGAGTATTTACGATTGTTTATACATTCTAAAATGGTTGCTAATGCTCGTTAATTTTCTGTATATAGTTAATTACCATAAAGCTTATCAGCAAATGTTGCGTTTGATTATGTTGCCCCAAAGCTGTTACTAAATTAATTATTATTGGCATCATCTCAAACATGAATATGGAGATCGTTAAGTTTTCGTATGCAAATATGGGAAATTGAATGAGATTATCATATCAATATTCCGGTATATCTAGTGAAAATTCTAATTAATTAACATAAAAATTAAAAATTTAACAATTATATTAAAAAAATTTAAATTATATGTTTAAATCAATGATTCTTGTAGAAAAAAAAACCAAAACAGAAATTAAGAAACAGTTACTTATTAACTTATTTATTAATATAATTCACATTTCGGCCTCGTTTTCAGTTTAATCAATTCACCAAAAAGACTTTTAGCTTAAATAAAATTTAATTCATTTAATAACAATTTTCTATATAGCATCACAAAGGAATTATTTTAATTAAAAATTCTATTACTGTTACATAATTTATTATTTATGATTTATTCATGGAAACATATTTATCATATACATATATCACTATATCTTACGTCAGTATAGCAAAGAATATATGCGGTAATCTAGTCACGTAGTATACGTATATTCTTGGTACGGTACAGATCAATGTCGTCGATAAATCGAAAGATTTATCAGCCACTAGAATCTATAATACATTATTCCGCTTGGAACAAAGTGCGCTTTCGATCCAGGGAAGAATTATTCATGCCGCTTAACGTCTCTGCTGTATTATTGAAACTAGAAACTGTACTAAATGAGGATGGGCGAACGAAATGATTTGTTTGGTGCGCGATATTTCGCTCGGTTATCCGAAAGCGGTCTAACGAATCGTGCGTCACCGAATGCTCTCGTTAATCCCCACAAAAGATTCCAGTAATCACTTCGAAGCGTACTTTGAGTGCACTCGCCGAAGGATAGAGGATGGTGAGGTTTTAAATAAAACCGTCAGTCGCGTCGCGCTGTAAATCGCTGCAGTTGAATCGAAATCGTCGGACGTCGTGTTTAATTAAGAATAATCGTGAATACGCACCACTTTCCGAATCGCGTCTCTCCCGTTTCGATTGTACCTCACTCTCTTTTGCCGTGCCTCTTTTTCACATCGGAGGGCACTCGAGGCACGTCACTCGAGCCTGATTTATTGAGTGAACTGCCCTTTGCCCCTGACAACCGAAACTGCCGGGATAATTTAAATCAGCGGAGAAAAGGAGCAGCCGTGACCCCGGCGATTCTCTTCACTCGCTCACATTTGTCTCTCCTTCTTCAGGACCAAGTGTCGCCGTGGTACAGGTGGTGGAAGAGCACCGTCAATGTCAGACTTGTCGTGGATCCTCAATTGCTTCGCCGTCGACCCTCGGATGAGTCCTCTCAGGATCGCGAGAGTCACGATGGGTCGAGGGAGACGGCAACGTCTGCGGTCGATACGTCATAAAGAGAATGTATGCCGATAAAAAGTGAAAGCAAGCCTGGCAGACATTTAAAAATATAACTGTAAAAGTCCCAAGATGTAAGTCACGAATGAAATAAACACGAATATTATTTCCGCAATAAGATGTTATCATAAACTGCGACTTATATACCACGCGTTATTATTCAAGCTTTTAGGTATATTCGTTGTTACTGTATAACTATTCTGTACAGCGAGAACTTTAATCCTGATTTCTTGAACCGTGTTGACCTGCTTTTCATCACGCGAATTTACGTAATTCTCTGAAACCTTTCGACATTCGATGGAATTCGATCTCCCTGACGTGAAAAAAAAAAACTCACGTGATTCGTGCGACATGTCGACGAATGCAGTCGCGGTGAATTGTTTTCCGTTTCTTTCGTTGCTGATTTCTCGTGTACCTCGCGTACATTGTCCTTCTTAAAAAAGAACTTTTCGCGTTTCTCATTGCGTGCGCGAGATTTAATCGCGCAAATGAGATCTGAACGCGCGCGCACCAGGTACATTAAACAGAAATACTCTGCGAATTTAAACGCGTGTTTTCTGCCAAGAAAAATTTAGCTAGCCGGCCAAGAGTTCGCGGTGAACAAACGGAAGTACTGCTGATCTAGCAATTAACTCATCTGGCACGATGCCAACTATTTATATTACAGCGTTATCGTATATTCTATTCGTTGTTCCCTCGTCTGTTACTGCTAGCTAATATTTCTTTCTTTATTTAAACTGAGAGAGAGCATTAAGACTCGTAAGGCAGAATAAAGAATTTTAGTTAATTTGCAGAAAATATTCGCCGGTATCTTCAAAGCTTCGTAAGCTATTTTAAAAGCAACGTATCTGGGTCGAAATCTAAAATATTAATACATCTAATTGAAAATTGATTTTATTTTATTAGAATTTTAATGTGAGATGTACAATTTTGGAAATTAAGCAAATACAAGAAAACGCGGTACAAGAAACAAGTTTTTTTTAAAGGGAAAACGATTGTATATTTACTAAAGATCTCCAATGGCAGATTGAAAAAAACGTCATTCTCGTTTTTCGAACAGTTTCTCTTTCTAAAAAATAAACAAACCAATTAGGAAGAAATTTTTTGACGCCTTTCCTTCTCCACGTTCACGGCATAAATCCAAGTAAATCGAAAGTCCGAAGCCACGCAATTAGCAGTAAACATCTCGCTTCGCCTCGTAGTGGTAAGCTCGCTTAAATGCTAGAGTTACTGGTGACTTTATCCGGTAGTTAGTTAAGCTGTGACAAACCAATTACAGCACTCTGTTGAGGGGAAGGGGTGGTATTGACTATCATTCCAAACAGTGTTCGACATTGATAGGGTTTCATGCTTCAATAATTTTGTGAACAATGAAATATTTTTGGAGGGAAATTAATGTTTGAAATTTTGAATGAATAACGTATAAAATAAACAATTATGATCTTAACAAAATTTTATATTCTGTTACTTGTTTTATAAATTTTGATCAAGATATATGTTTGAATTTATGTTAACAGCGAGCATTTTTAGGACTTATTCGGACATGTTTATAATATTTTTAAAATTAAAATTAAGAAACTTAAATTAACATTAGAACATATTAGAACATTGATATTAACACAATCTTTTATATTATTTACAATATTATTAAACAGTATGATCTAGTTTCATGTTATTGTTTATTTATGTGTATCAGTTTCAGTAATCATAAATCGGTTCTAAATTAAAAATATAAAGTACATAAATAATACATAAAAAATAGAATAAATAGAATAAATAAAAAAAAATAGAATATATCGAAACATATTAATATAATTACTGAAAAAAGACTGATTGTATTAATTGGAATTCTGATTGAAAATGGATGAATTAAGATTTTCTGGTTGAATCTACTATATTCTAGTTGAGAAAAGTGGAATTGATATGATTTCGAATCTTCTGGTTCGTTCATTTTCAGCCAAAAATTTTTCTCAGTGTACGACCTAGTTTCATGTTTTCACTTATTTATGCGTGCATCTAAGTGTGCGATTTTCTCCTGTAGGGAATATGTTATTTTCCTTAAAGCAACACACCAGAGGATCAACCACCACGATTTTCATTGCACATATGTTAACTAGTACGAGATGAAGTTTATGTTTGCTAGAAAAGTAATGCTTTCCAGCGATGAATGTTGGGAAAATATATTCCGAAAAATCAATTTTCCTTCGCAAAATATTCATTGCGAAATTAATTTCCGTGCGATACTTTGAAAAGAAGATCGATCAAGAAAATTATATTGATAAAGTTTTGTAGTTATTAAAAAGTTGTATTTGCATGTTTTCTGTTTTTCTTGTATTAAATTTATCATTATTTATTTTATAAATTTTATAATCGTTATTTATTTTATAAATAATTTGAAATGATATGTATGAATGATAAAGAATACGATAAATTGTTTTATATAAAACGATAATTAATTTTAATATAATTATAAATCGTTATTTTTTTGAAGCTGTGCAAAATATTTTTCGAAAACATGCACTGAAAAAATCCATTTAATCTTTTCTTGAATATTATTTGAAATATTAATGAGAATTACGAGTTCGTCTTCAAATTATAATGCTGTGATCCAATCTTTCGTGGAATTGTTAATTGAATGAAGAAGGATCAAGATAATTTATTCAACTAGAAGTTAATTTCGAGTGTCTATGAAGAGTAGGATAATTTCTGGAATCGAGGCCGGCATGCCAACGTGGTCATTTCGTGAAAACTTTTCTTTGCTCCAGTTAACACCTTTTTCATATTCATTTCGGTTTGTTTAATTGCGAAGAATCGCGCGTCTGTCCCTGTTTGCCCGACACCAGGGAGATTCATGACGTTAAGCGCCTCCCAACTGCACTAAAAAATGAAGAACTTAGCCCGATGTCCTGACCTACATTTAGTCTCATTTGTTACCAACGTCTAAAGACCTTATCAGAAGCCGAACAACTCTCTGGAATTTCTAAATAATCGAAAGTTAGAAACAACTTATTTCTCAATTGAATGCACAGAATCATTACAATATTGATATTGCAATTTGAGCTATAATAAATTCGAGAATTTCGATAGCTGCGAGAATACGAGCTAATGACTTTTGTATTTCATATTTATCATTATCCATCATATTTTATCAATATTTTTCTGACAAAATGACTTTTGAATTCGTGTTTCCGTATCGTGGTAGAAAACAACATCAATTAGATTTCTCGTAACGAAATTGCTCGAAATTTTGCTTTTATATTAGACTAATTCGAAATCAATAATAATTCGAAATCTATAATAATGCGAAATTTAATTAATGTTAAAAAAAAATTGATTCCAAGTTTATCAAAATTTGTTATGTAAGAATCTTTTTCTTCTAAAGATAAAGGATGTAAAGATATAGCTTTCTTCCACTACTGAAAGAAAAAAATCTCCTAACCATAATTTTTTAAGCAAGCAATTATAATCATAAATACCAAGTACTCTTCTCTCTGTAATGAATTCTTCAATGTAAGATCATGAAAATTTTATTAAAATTTCTCTTATAAAAAGCATATATAAATGAGCAAAAGATATATGTTCGAAAAAATTCAATTGTTACAGCTTTGTAATACGACCTAGTTTAAAGATAAAATAAAGATGATATCTATGAGTCCTATGGGATATGACTTTTGCAATCTATCTGTTAAACTGGCTAGCCTGGGATGCCTAGTGACCGAGCACATATCCATAATTTAACTCGCTAATTTAGAAACTTTAAATTATGTCGGCCAAAGTGTGGATCAGTTACACTGGTCGCTCGCGGCTATGCGAATAATGAGAATTTCAATATTCATATCTGGCTTTAAGGCGACCACGATAGATGGACTTTGACGAAACAAAAATTAGATTTAAATGCATTACCTGATGGATTATTTGGAAAATGTACTTATTTCGTCCGATTAAAGCAGAAATTCGTCGACATTATGTCGCAGTTGATCTTGTAATATCATTATTCCACTTACAAACGAGGAACTTGCATTTTTACTTTATATTTTCTTAAAATTAGTGTAATGTTTATAATTTAATATCTACTTTCATATCGTTTTCGAGTAGATAATTTTTATTTGTCTTTATGATTTTAATTATAATCCGAAAGTTAATTTTTGCAATAATTAACTGCAGTATTCTGCATTATGCTTACAGTTTGCGGATAGTATATTTATCATTGGCGTAAAAGCAGGGTACAACTTTTGCTCATGCGAGCAAAATTAAAAGATAAAGCATCGTTTGTAAGTTTGAGAGCATGTACCAGAATTTAGGATACCCCATAAATTGAGGTTCTTTATGAAAATTAAACGCCTTTTGCCGGAGAAAGATGCGAGAAAAGACGCAAGTTCGTGAATATATATCCGTTGGATTTTTCACGGAGATTTAGCGCGATTGTTCGCCTCGCTCGGGTATGAGCCTCGCACACGCGACTTTCATATATCGTGTAAACGTGGTGCCACATGCATAAGTTCGGATAATTCAATTCTTTCCCTTTTGGCCGCTGGAAGTTGCTTTACGTTCGTCTTGAAAGCACGCGCGTTTCGGTATCGTTCGATATCGCGAGAAGGTATTATTTCAGTTGGGAAGAAGCTCTAGATATCCTCGTAAAGTCGATCATTTAGATCGAGGAAACTGCAACATAATTTCAGGTGCACAATTTTATTGCAGTTATAAGCTCGTGAAACTCGAGACGATAATATCCATATAAATGGAAAATGCACATTAAAGAATATTCAAAAGGAAATTTCATCGTTTCTTTACATGGTTTCTATATGTAATGATTTCCATATAGTTTCCTTTAGTGCGGCTATTCAGAGTATTTTAAAATCCGCGATATTTTTCTCAAAATTATATAGGAAAGGATCAAGTCAAATAAAATTGTTAACTAGAAATCTTGGATTGATATATATTTTGGATTTCGATCGAAAATTTAATTTTTGTAACATTCATGAATTTTAAATTTCTTCAA